AGCTGCTGTAATAGTAGCGCTGTAGTAGCTGCTGTAATAGTAGCGCTGTAGTAGCTGCTGTAATAGTAGCGCTGTAGTAGCTGCTGTAATAGTAGCGCTGTAGTAGCTGTTGTAATAGTAGCGCTGTAGTAGCTGCTGTAATAGTAGCGCTGCAGTAGCTGCTGTAATAGTAGCGCTGTAGTAGCTGCTGTAATAGTAGCGCCGTAGTAGCTATTGTAATAGTAGTGCTGTAGTAGCTGTTGTAATAGTAGTGCTGTAGTAGCAGTAGTACTACTGTAGTAGCAGTAGTAGTAGCAGTAGTACTACTGTAGTAGCAGTAGTAGTACTGTAGTAGCAGTAGTAGTGCTGTAGTACTACTGTAGTAGCAGTAGTAGTGCTGTAGTAGCAGTAGTAGTGCGGACCCCTCCATTAACCCGCGGCACGTCTGTCTTCCAGTTTAACCCCATGGAGGACGAAGACATCGACATGGAGACGGTTCACGACAGCCAGGCCTTCATCCACCATCACCTCAACCTGCTGGAGCGCCCGTCCACGCCAGGTAGGCTCCGCCCCGTTTTCGGCCACGCCAGCCTGCGGGTCGCTCCGCTCACCGTCCCTCTGTTTTCAGGTAAGGAGCCCCCACTGGCGGAGCAGACCCTGCCGTCCATGTCGGCCGCACCTGTGCCCCCGTTCTCCAAGGACGCCGCCTCCCTGTCCTCCAAGCACGGAGGAGACCACGCCCACCACCACCACCATCACCACCACGAGCACAAGAAGAAGAAAAAGAAGCACAAGCACAAACACAAGCACAAGCACAAGCACGACAGCAAGGACAGGGACAGGGAGAACCCGTACGCCTTCAGCAACAGCCCCGCCAGCGGACGCTCTCTACGCTCCCCCTCGCTGTCCGACTGAACCCGCTGACATCATCGCCACGCCGCCCTCTGGAGCTCCAACAGAACCAGCCGCCGCGCCGGGCCCCCCCGTCTCCAGCTCTGGACGCCGGGCCCCCCCGTCTCCAGCTCTGGACGCCGGGCCCCTTGCAGCAATCTTCTTTGGAGCAGCAGAACCAAGGCTTGTTCCTCAGGTTGTTCCAGGGATTCCATTTTCATCCAATCACCTTCAGCAGTGGGATGGTTCAGAAGTTCTGCTTTTAGTCCGGCCCACTTTGCTCTGGTAACCTCTGCAGAAGTAGAACCGGACCCAGACTGGACTCCACAGGTTCTGGTTTCATGCTGGGTTCTGCAAGTGTTTCCTGGATCTTAGAACCAATGTCGGGTCAGAACCGAGCTTCTGCTGCCAATCAGACGCCACCCGGTGGGGCCTTCAGGTATTACACCAACACAAACTAGATCCACAGAGCAGGTTCTGTTCAGATTCCGGTACTGGTCTGGGCCAGTCTGCGGTTCTGTTCAGATCCTGGTACTGTTCTGGGTCAGTCTGCAGTAACGCCTGATCAGCCAACAGCCATTCAGGTTGATTGTCCCGCCCCCTTCCTCTGATTGGCTTCTCTATGTGAGCTGATTGGAAACTGGAAATCCTGCTTCTAGCTTCCTGTAGCATCGGCCATGTTCTTCTGTTGTGGCTGCAGAGGACCGGGCCCCGGCCCCGGCCCCAAGGACTGGATGACCCAGTAGATTCTGAGCCGACTGGTGGTTATGAATAAAACTGGGTTTATGTTTTATCTTTATTTTCTATAGAAATCTGCTGTTCTGTCATTGGAACCATGAATATTGTGATCATTAAATTCTACTTTTTCATAAACGTGTCGTTCTTGTTGCTCTGGACTCCTGTAGATCCACAGTTTTCAGATCCACCCCACATCGCGGGTGGGGAGAATGGTGGAGGGTGGGGGTAATGGTGGAGGGGCAGGTAGGGGTAGTGGTGGAGGGGCTGGTGGGTGG